CCACACAATTCGTGTATATATTTTAGCTGTCACAACACATGTGTAGAAGAGAAATGAGAAGAAGAAATCTCAGTGTTGCTTCTAATCCTGTGCTTTTAGCTGGAAGCTGGGGAAGGAATTTGCTAGTTTTATAGAACTCTAAGAAACCAGATACAAAGCAGTACAGATATAGTCAATAGGAGATAGTGTGAGTGTGTCTATGTGTGTATGCCTGTGAGTGTGTTTGTGTGAGTGCATGTCAGTGTGAGTATGTGTGAGTGTGTTCAGGTTGTGGTGTGTATGTGTATGAGTATGTGTATGTGTGACAGTGTATATGTAGTGAATAGGTGTATGTGTGTGAGAGTGAGTGTTGTAAGAGTGTGTGGGGGAGTGTTTGTGTGTTGTGGGTGTGACTGTGTGTGTGTGGGTATGTGTCAGTGAGTGTGATTTTGTGTGTGCATTACTGTGTTTACAGGGAACTAAGCAGTCTGGTTGAAGGAAGCAGAAGGGAGAGCTGTGGTTGGAAGGTCACATAGAGATGACCATGAGTAACCGTGACTTCAGAAGAAAGCCTCAATACACCCTAAACTCAGAGAGGAGAATGGAAAGCTTTTAGGCAGAAATGGACAGATTCTGAAAGAGAGTTGTAAAGACTGGTGTGGAGGGTGAACAGAGGAAGAGAGTGAGGACTTAGAGCTCAGAACCTAGGCAGGTGTTGTGACTGCTGCCTTGGGGATGAGAAAGGTGACCTGCCCTCTCTGCCACATTGACTGCAGACTCCAAAGAGCCCTCATGACAGTGAGCCTGGGGGAGTGGCAGGGATGAGCCTGGGGTCTGTGCAAACATTCTGGTCCTGCAGCAGGGCTCAGTGCTTCCTCCTGGCCTTGTAATGCAGGGTCTGCTTCTCACTTTTTCCACCTGAGTCTGTGTTCCTGAGAAATGGGTTCTTTCTCCCTCTTTTGCCTTGGGGTGAATCATTTGAGCAATTTCTTCCTCCTCTGAGCAAATTTGATCTTGGAGATCACTCTCCTCTTCAACTGTGGGGACTCTTGAGGATTCAGAAAGGATTGTCATTCATGGGGGTTCTGATAGAAGCAGAAAAACACCTCCACACTTTAAATATGAAGTGTTGCAATGCCACATGCTGAATGGCCGACAGACCCTTGAGCAGGCTTCTTTCTCTCTTGCTCTCACTTCCCTCATTCAGAACCCAGTGATACTAACCCACCCCCACATATGTGGTCAGAATTCATCCTACATTCAGATATGGGTGGAGATGTTGACACTGAAAAGCAGAGGTACCTTGTCCAGTGGAGCAGAGGGAGGGATCAGACTCAGACCACAGTGCAGAGTCAGTCAATCATGACAGAGACTCTCCCAGTGCAGTGGGTGGATCCTGGTCTTTCCATCATGGGTGCTGGGCCAGCTGGGGGAGTCTGTGGAACAGGGTGAACTTCACACTTGCTTCACTCCATACACAAAATCAATGCTAGATGCATGACAGACTGAAGAGTGAATAAATTACTTCTTCCTTAGCAAAAATATAGAAAATATATTTTCTTCTTTGTGGAATGCTTTTAAAAATCACATTTCATTGTAATTCTAGTACAGTTTTCCCAATTTGCTCCTTTCCCTCTTTTGCCTATCGCATCCCCCACTACCAGAGTGAATGTGTACACTGTTGTCCAAGTCTGTGGGTCATTCATACATGTTCTTTACTTAGTCTCTTCCCCTTTTTCTACTGTTATCCTTCTCCCTCCCCACTCTGTTCACTGTCTGTTCATTGTTTCCATGCTTGTGGTTCTATTTTCTTCATTAGTTTGTTTTGTTCATTAGATTCCCCTTATAGGTGAGATCACATGTGTTTGTCTCTCACTGACTACCCTCTTTCACTTAGCATCATATTCTCTCGTTCCATCCATGCTGTTGTGAAAGGCAGTTCTTTCTCTCTTACTGTTGCATAGTGTTCCATTGCATAAATATTCCACAGTTATTTTATCCACTCATGTACTGGTGGGTACATGGGCCATTTCCAGCTCCTGGCTTTTGTAAATAGTGCTGCAATGAAGAGAGGGGTGCATAATTTCTTTTGAATTGGTGAATCAGGATTCTTAGGTGTATTCCCATGGGAGGGGGAGTAGGATGTGAGGAGGAGGGAAAAGGGGGATAACTGAAAAAAACATGAGGAAATACAAATAAAAAATAAAGTTACACACACACACACACACACACACACACACACACGCGCGCACAGACAGAGCCAGGCATGCTGTTGATGGGCGGAGCTGTCCGCCACTCAGTGCTGAATGCTGCACCACATCTGGAGATTCATATACAAAATAGGACAGAATCAGGGGAGATGCAGGTGGCCCATGGCTTTGAGGGAAACCTCCTAGATACACGTGCACACTCCTGTTAAGGTTGGATTTTGTCTGGGTCAGCAGGACCTCTGGACAGTATAGGAGCTCTCCTGACTTGGGGGTTCTGTGATGACTTTTGTGAATTTGCTTTGCAGTATCAGGTTTGTGCTGTTCTTACATTAGTAAAATGGTAAAGTCTCAGTGGACGTTTTTATAGTAGAACCTTGGATGATTTTGTTTTTCAGTTGTTAAAGCTGAAGAGACAAAATCACAGGATGTGGTGGTCAGTGTCCCCAGACCACAGTGTGTACTGTGCAAGGTGCCTGTCACACAGGAAGAGGACTGGCTCTGTTCACTCTAAAAATAGCAGATGCTGAGGGGCTGACCTGAGCCACATCACTTAACACCCCTCATGTCTAATTTGTCACATTTAGTTTTCCTAAGCTCTATAATCATAGGAGGATTTTGACTGAGTGAGCTGTTATTGGAAAGTCATAACTATCATTCAGTTTATAACATTCAATGTTCCCTGACAAAGCTAATACCAAAAATGGTTAATAATATAAAATAATTTTCAGGAGAAATATAAAATTTTCTCATCTAATACTTATTAGGCCTAGTACCACTTGCATATTTTGTAGTGTGCTACAAAAAGAAAGCAGTTATCTGGGCAGTTTACCTCTGCATTTTTAGAAGAGAAGAAAACTTGTAAAGTCTTGTTTTAGCTGAACTCATTTGTTGTATATAAGTAAAAACCCAGTTCTTTCTTTTTCTATGGAGGGAGGGAGGGAGGGAGGGAGGGAGGGAGAGAGAGGAGGAGGAGGAAGAAGAAGAAGAAGAAAAAGAAAAAGGAGGAAGAGGAGGGGGAGGAGGAGGAGGGGAGGGGGGAAGAGAAGGAAAAAAGGGAAGGGAAGGGGAAGGAAGGAAAGAAAAGGGAACTTGGTAAAGTTGTTACAACAAATTACAACTAACTGCATGGATTCAGATAATAGAATTTTTTATTGTTTCAGAACTATAAGCCAGACAGATAATTGAGAGAGGGAAATAGGTAGATGAAAAATCAGTTGGATAGATAAATGAATAAATAGATAAATAGAGAGGTAGTGAGACTGATGCACAGATACATAATCACTCAGATAGTAGGTAAATGGATACATAGGTAGATAGATTTTCAAACCTTCCAATGTGTGCTATCATCAGGTCACATTATTTTTTATTTTGCTCTAGGTAAGTTTTTATTAAATCAAAAACACAGTGAACTTTCCAGCTTTATTGGGATATCATGGACATACAGCATTCTGCAAGTGTAAGGCATACAGTGGATTGAATGGATGCATTCATATATTGCAGTATACTACCACCTCGGCTTCAGCTAACAATACTGTTCAGAAGTCATGAAACTGCCACTTACCTTTTGTGGTGAGGACATTTCAGATACACTCTGTGTCCAGTACATGACATAGTCTTGTTAACTGTAATCACCAGGGTTGAGACCTCCAGGAAGAGGTAATCTCATAACTGAAAGTCAATGCTCTATGACCAGCTTCTGTCCTTTGCCCCAGTCCTTGTGATCACCACCATTCCACCCTCTGTTTGCACACGTTTGGATTTTATAGATTCCACATATATGTGTGGTCATTCTGTATTGGTCTTCCTTTGTGTGATCTGGCTGAGTTAACAAAATGTCCTCAAGATCCATTCATGTTGTCTGAAATGGCAGTTTTTTTTCTTCATTTTTCTTGTTGACACTATTACAGATATCTCTTTACCCTGCCCCTCACCTTTGCCCACCTCCACCAAACCCTCAACCCCCTGTCCCTCTGGCCACCACTGCACTGCTGTATGTGTCTGTGGCTCATGCATGTGTGTGCTTTGGCTGATCCCTGCACCTACCTTCATCCAGCCTCCTCCTCCCTCACCTCTGCCTGCTCTCAGTCTGTGCCTTGTGTTCCCAGTTTGTTCTTCATTCTGGTGGTTGAGTAATATTCTTATTTAGACTTTGGAAAATTGCACAAATCACATCATTATTGAAAAGGATTAGTTTTTCAGGTGGCACCACACTCAGCTGTCCCTTCAAATACCAAGTGAGGGCAATTCTGGGGAAATGGCACACGTGGCATCTGATGAAGACAGGAAGGATGGTGGGGATGGAGAGGGTGGTAGGCATCAGCTGTATTCTTCTTTCAGGTTCATATCTAGTGCCCATTTATTGACTGATTGGTTCCAGGTTAAGTCCTGTGAACCAAGGTGAGGAAGACTCAATAATGTCAATCTGGTCACGTAATGATTAGATATGAAGAATAATTTATTAGCCCTGGCTGGTGTAGCTCAGTGGATTGAGTGTGGGCTGTGAACCAAAGGGTCACTGGTTTGATTCCCAGTCAGGACACATGCCTGGTGTTGTGGGTCAGGTCCCCAGTGGGGGTCATGTGAGAGTCAACCACACATTGATGTTTTTCTCCCTCTCTTTCACCCTCCCTTCCCTTCTCTATAAATATAAATAAATAAAATATTAAAAATAATATCTTATTTCATAAAAGTGGAAGACAGCATGAAATTTTAGATGTGTGGGCTCAAACAGCCATGTGTGAAGGACCCTCATGACACACGGGTGAGAAAACAAGGGGGTCATTACAGAAAGTCAACAAGAAAGCAAAGGAAACAGACATTTAATGGAGGAAGAGCCCTGCACAGGGAGCACTCAGACACTCCCTGCACCCAAACCTTGTTCTCTCCCCTGGACACATCAGCAGACAGTCTCCCCACCTGTGATCCAGACTGTCCTTCCGCACCTCCTGAGTCATCAGATGGGCTCCATGGTTCCCCCAACTCTCAATGGTGCCCTGTCCCTTTTGTGCTCACATCTCAGTTCCATCATGGGTCCTAAACTCACTGTTCAAAGCCTGAAACAGCAGCACCTCGAACCCAATGAGGATCAGTCCAGCCATGCCCAACCGGATGAGATTCTCCAGTGTGTAGTCCTGGTGGTCCGAGGCTAGGAAATGTGGGTAAAGAGGTGACAGAAATCAGGGCAGAGCAAAGTTACCTCAAATCCTGGATGTCCACCCAGCATGCCTGCCTCCCTCTGTCAGGACCTGACCCTCTGCACCCAGCCCCAAAACTGAGGGTTCTCCCACTCCCCACTCCTGGGGTCTGACTTGTTCTGTGATGGGCTGATGGTTCAGCTGCCCCAGAGGATCATGAAATGAGGGTGTGAGTGAGGAGTTGGGGAGACACCAGCCTCCCTCCTGGGGTCTGTGCTCCCCGATGCCCCACTCTTCAGACTGTAACTTTCACATGGTGGTGACATGAGCCCAGACTCCACTCCTCCAGGTCCCTGTCTTCTCATTGGATCATCTCAGCCTCTTGATGTCTTTGAACCTGCACAGATTCACTAGGGACCAAAGGTTATTGTGCCTCAGAGCTCAGGATTAGTAATAAATGCTCACAATAAGGAAATGGCTGAGTGGTGTGTTCTGGGTTCTGTTGGGATGCAGACCCCAGAAGGTCTTTCTCCTATAGCTGAGAGATCCACTAAGTCAACAGTTGATGAACCAGAATCCATGGATTAGAGCTTGGTGTGAGGGGCTCCTCAGTATCCTTCTCTATGGAGCCCCTTAAATTCTCCCATTTATTAGTGTTTCAAACTGAAAAGACAGACCCTTGAGCTGAGTGAGCTCAGAGAGGACAGAGTTTGTGTCCCCTCACCTGAGGCCAGGGCTCCAGGGTTCCCCACAGCTATGGGGAGGTATGGTGTGAGCTGTAGCACCTGTAGGTCCTCCCAAGAGCTGAGGTCACAGGACACATAAGTAATCAGTGGAGGAGAGAATGGGCTGACCCCTTCATGGACAAAGGAAAGTGTCCCTTGGTCTCTGTGATTGACATATCAGGGTCACCTTTTCTCTTAAGGCTACTGTCGGGTCCAGTTGGACCAAGAGAGAGGGTTTGTCATGGAGCCTTCCTAGAGAGAAGGGGGTTGGGCTGAGCTGGGGTTCTGCCTTCCCCACCTCTGTGACCCCTCTGTCTCCTAATGTCACCACAGGCCTGAGAGCAAGCAGTGACCAGGGATGGACCCTGACACTCAGAAAAGAGAAGGGACTACCAGTCCTTCAGCAGGAGCAGCTGAGCTGGGACCTGAACCAGGTCTGACTCTAGCCCTTGTTCCCTCCTCTGAGTGAGCACCTGAAATGAGGGAAAGAGCCTGAAACCCCAGGAACTATCTGCTTATCCCTCCCTGTGCACTGTCACTGTCACTGCTAAAGAGGGGACAGTCCCCATCATAACACATACTGGCAGGCTCCCAGTGAGGCCCTACTCCCAAGAGGACAGAGCCAGTATTGAAACAAAGTCTAAGTTCTGAGCCACGATTCTGCCCTTTAACATGCAGAGACACTGGGGCACAGAGAGGGGAAGCGCATGTCCAAGTTAGAGCCTCCACAGGTGCCTGAACTTGCACAGGACTCAGTCCCTGTCTCCCATGGACACACCCACAACCTCCCCACACAGACTCTCACTTACAGTTTTGAAGTTGTGACTCCATGGGGTTGTGGAACTGATCCTCAGAGACTTCTGGAAATTCACAATGAGGGTGAGGTGTGGGGGCCGCCTTCTCCTCACTTGATTCAGCTGATCCTGCCCCAGCCTGGGACCCACCTTGTCCCTCTGCCATGCCCACCCCTCCTGTCACCTGCCAGTCTCAGAGCCCTGGGGGCTCTGTGGTTCCAGAATCTCTGCCTGACTCCCAGCCCCTGGGATACAAGCCCAACCCTGAGTGTCTGGGGGCACAGGACCCCTGATGGATGCTCAGAACTTCCCTTTGCTGCTCTGTGTTCCCTCTGAGCAGAGTTCTCAGGGACTCACCAGCTGTGGGGATGGGTGCTGTGGGTAGGGGGAGAGGGGCTCTAGAGGGTCCTGGGAATGAGGACAGAAGGGAGGAGGGTCTGGGACCAAATCTGGAGGTGGCTTATCACCCAGACTCTCCTCCTTTGTCTGATCTGTGGCTCCCAAGACACAGTCTCTGCCCACCTACCACCTTCCTGTCCCAGCTGAGGGGGAGGGGCAGAAAGGACTGGGAGGGTCTCTGGGGGAAGATCTATGCTGGGTGACTATCACTCAGAGCCCCTCACTCTCATCCAACTTCAGACGTCTTTGGGGACAGGACCCAGAGCTGACTGTGCTCAGAGAGAATGGGGTCAGGGGCCCTCACCTGAGACCAGGAGCTCCAGGGGGTCACTGGGGTGAGACCATTCCTGGGGATGATTTCTAAAATATCCATAGCATCTGAATGTCCACTTGTGGCTGAGGGTCACAGGGCCTACAGTGAACAGGGCCTGAACCTGCCCACTGGGGTGTCGCTGTGAGTCCAGGGTCCAGGAGAGCCTGTCTTCTCCTTCCTTAGTCAGAATGAACCTGTCAAATACCTTCTGTGAGCCACACTGGAGGGTCACGGTCCCTCCTGAGGTCACAACAGGACTGGACAGGGCTGAGAGGCTGGGTTTGCTGTAGTATCCTATGAGAGAAGGAGGCAGCATGTTAAATGGGGCTCACACCTCTCTCACGTCCCTTAGGGCTGGGCTTTGAGGGGGTGACCCCCTGACAGCATCCCCCTTGCTGAAGGTGGAGCCTGATACTGGGACCCCTGTATGTCCTCTCACCTGTTATCACCAGCTCCAGGGGGTCACTGTGTTCTGACCAGCCACTGTGGCTGAGGTATTTACAATAATATCTCCCTGCAGAGATGTCTTTCATGAAAAACTTGGCCTTGTCACTGGGCTGCAGTGGTTTCTGTGTGTCCAAACATGTAAGCATTTCTTCATCATACAGAGAGTACTCCTGGGCTTCCAGGGTCCCCTGACACCCAATGGTCACAGGGGTCCCAGAAGGGATCACAGGTCCTGGCTCAGCCCAGATGGTGGGTCTGGGTAGGGGCCCTGGAAGGAATCAGAGGCTGCCTTAGAAGGACCTTCCACACTCCTCATTCCCCAGCTCAGTCCCTGTCCCCCCTCTTTTATCCCTTCATATCAGGACCTCTGTGCCCCCTCCTGAGCCCAAGACATGAAGGACAAGAGACAGAAGCCAAGGAGGACTCACCTTCCTGCATGTGGGTTTTCTGGCCCAGACTCAGCCCTGGAAGAGAGTCCCTGTCAGAATTGTACCCAGACATCTGAGCTGATTTCTTATACTAGGGTCTCAACCACTTGAGCTCCCTGAGAATAGAGTTTCTCTTGAACAAGCCTGTGCAGCTCCCCTGTCCCATCCTGCCATCCCATCCGCATGTCCATAACTGACCGAGGCAGAGAAGAGCAGGGAGGATGGACATCATGCTGTCTGCTCTGAGTGTTCCCACTCTACAGGTGGATGAGCCCTTGGGCCCCGAGTACAGAGACACACAGGATGTGGTGAGTCAGGAGCTGCTGCCTTCCTTCCTCAGCCTCACAGTTGTTTGGACCCACAGCAAGGGGTGGCTTGCTCTAAATAAGACAATCACTTATTTTTCTCAGCTTGCCACAAGTAAAATACAGCTTTCATCTTCAACTAGTCAATAAAAAATATTTTCTGATTACCCACTACCAGCCAGGTATTTGTCCCAGAACCAGAAAGACCTCTGTGATCCAGGGGACCCACTTCCTGTATTTTTAAAAATTGGGTTAGCAGAATATGGGCCACTTAAAGCTAGTATTTCAGTTAAATTGTTGGCAAAGGAGAAATAAGTGAAAATATAAGAACAATGGGGAACCATGAGGAGACTGTAGTTGGGGGAATGGGTGTTTGAAGAGGCAGAAACTAAACAGGTGAATTAGAGAACATTCCGGAGAGGAAGAAACATTCCAGAGAACACTAGAGACATAGAGACTGTCCAAAAGGGAGGCAGAGAGGTTGAGGTGGTGGCTAGTCATGTGGGTGCTGTCCATTCGTGCATGGATGTTGGGTCACCTCTGTAGGACCAGGGGAGTATGTGAGAAATGGACTCTGATGGACAGATTGTGTTGTCAAAGTCCTATGTGCCCTGTGTCACAAAAGGACTGGAGACATGCAGTATTTGTTAAGAAAAAGAAAATATCAGTATTTGCTGAACTCCAACATTGTGTCTTCAACTATGTTCCATAAATATCTTTCCTGAATATATTACATGATTCTCACAAACCCCTTAGCAGTCATAAACACATTTAGAGAAGAAAAGTAAAAAGATGCTAGCTCAGTGGTTATTTCTCATTCTGTGACTGTCTCTGAGAGCTTGGGGGGGCGCCAAGGTCAACATGGCTCTATAAATCCTATATGAAAACAACAGAGACAGGTTGAATGGACCAGTGTGTGTAAGTGTGTATCTGTGTGAGTATATACATGCAAACATGTATGAGTGTATGTGTGTTTATGTTGGTGTGATTGCATATGTGTGAATATATGCACACACATATTTATGTACATGCGTATGTGTGTGTATGAGTGTATATGTATCTGAGCATGTGACGGCACACGTGTGAGTGTGTATACACACATGAGCATATGCATATATGTGTGTGCATGCATGCAAGCGTGCACATTAGTGTGTGTATGTGTGCATTTGTGTGAGAGTATACTTGTGAATATGTGTGTGAATATGTTTGTGTATATATGTTTTTGTATGTGTCATTATATGTGTGTATGTGAGAGTGTGAATGTGTGTTCACAGGTAACCACACCTATCTGGGTGAGGGAAGCAGAAGTGAGAGCTGAGGATGGAGAGTCACATGCAGATGATCATGAATAGTTTTCAGATTAGCAAAAAAAGTCAGGATTTACCCTAAAGATAATGAGGACAAGGGAAGAATTTTCAGGAAAAACAGACAGCTTCTGAAATGTGATTTGCAAACACTGATGTAGAAGGTGAACAGAAGAAGAGAGTGAGGATTTAGAGCTCGGAGTCCAGGCAGGTGGTGGATGTGACAACTGCTGTGGGGACATGAAGGGTGACCTTCCCTCTCTGCCTCATTGACTGCAGATCCCAAAGAACCCTCATGACAGAGAGCCAGGGAGAGGTGCAGGGACCACTCTGTGCAAACACTCTGCTCCCACAGGAGAGCTCAGTGCTCCCTCCTGGCCCTGGAATGCAGGGGCTGCATCTCACACTGTTTCCACCTGACTGTGTCTCTGTGAGACATGGGCTCTTTCTCTCTCCCTCTCTGTGGGGTGAATTGTTTGGGTCATTTCTTCCTCCTCAGAGCACCCTTGATCCTGTGGGTCGCTCTCCTCTTCAAACTGTGGAGTCTTTTGAAGATTCAGAAAAAAATGACCATCAAGAGAGCTCTGTTTGAGGCAGAAAAAGAACCCCACACTTTAAATGTCAGTTGTTGCAATATCACATCTTGAATGGTTGAAGGACCCTGGAGCAGACTGCTTCCTCTGCTGCTCTCGCTTTTCTCAATTGTAGCCCAGTGATACCAACCCCACCCCTATGAATGTGGTAGAATTCACTCTAGTTGAGATGTAGGGGAAAGGGAACCGTGCATTCAGATTTGGGTGGAGACATTGGAGGTTTGTGAAACTGAAAATGAGAGACACCTCGTCCAATGGAGCAGAGGGAAAGATCAGACTCAGACCACAGTGCAGGGTCACATGATCATGATAGAAACCCTCACAGTGCAGTGGGCAGATCCTGGTCTTTCTGTCATGGGTGCTGGGCCAGCTGGGGGAGTCTGTGGAACAAGGTGAGTTTCACACCTGCCTCACTCCATGCCCAAAATTGATGCTAGCTGCTTGACAGACTGAAGAGTACATCAATTACTTTTTCTTTAGCAAAAATATCTTTTTTTAATTTGTGGGAAGCTTTTTTCTAAAATTGTTTTTTATTGTTATTCTATTACAGTTGTCCCAATTTTCCCCTTTTGCCCTTCTCTGCCCATCCCATGCCTCAGCTTCCACAGTCAGTTCCTATTCTGTTGCCCAGGTCTGTGGGTCATTCATGTAGGTTCTTTGTGTAGTTCCTTCCCCTATTTTCGACTATAGACCCTCTTTCCACTGCCCTCTGGTTGCTGTCAGTCTGTTCCATATTTCCATGACTGTGATTCTATTTTGTTTATTAGTTCATTTTTCATCATTAGATTCCTCTTATAGGTGGCATCCTATGGTATTTTTCTTTCACCAACTGGACTTACTTCACTTAATATAATATATTCTAGTTCCATACATGGATTTTGCTGTTGCAAAATGTAGGAGTTCCTTTTTTCTTTCTGTTACATAGCATTCCATTATGTAAGTGTACCATCATTTTTTGATCCACTCATTTACTGATGGGCACTTGGGCTGTTTCCCATACTTGGCTATTGTAAATAACACTGCTATGAACATAGGGGTGCATAATTTCTTTTCAATGGATGATTCTGGGTTCTTCTTTAAGTATTTTTATTGATTATGCTATTATAGCTTTTCCAATTTTCCCCCTTTATCTCCCCTCCACTCTGCCACCCCAACCCTGCAGCATTTCTCCCACTTAGTGTATGTCCATGGGTTGTACATATAAGTTCTTTGAGCCCTCTGTCTCTGTATCTAAAAAAAGATACCATTTTTATCTTTCCTTGTCTATTGTATGCCTACTAATTATGATTCTTCTTCCCTGTACCTTTCCCCCACATTCCTCCCTTTTCCCTCCCCACTGAACACCCTCTGTGTGATGTCCATTTCTCTGGTTCTGTTCCTGTTCTAGCTGTTTGCTTAGTTTTTGTTTTCTTTGTTTTTCTTTTCTTTTAGGTTCATTTGTTAATAGTTATGAGTTTGTTGTCATTTTATTGTTCATATTTTCAATCTTTTTTTCTTAGATAAGTCCCTTTAATGTTTCATATAGTGAGGGCTTGGTGATGATGAACTCCTTTTACTTGACCTTATCTGGGAAGCACTTTATCTGCCCTTTCATTCTAAAGTACAGCTTTGCTGGATAGAGCAATCTTGGATTTAGGTCCCTGCCTTTCATGACTTGGAATACTTCTTTCTAGCCCCTTCTTGCCTGCAAGATTTTTTTCCAAGAAATCAGCTGATAGTGTTATGGGAACTCCTTTGTGGGTAACTGTCTCCTTTTCTCTTGCTGCTGTTAGGATTTTCTCTTTGTTTTTAATCTTGGGTAACTTAATGATGATGTGCCTTGGTGTGTTCCTCTTTGGGTTTGAATTCTTTGGGGCTCTCTGGGCTTCCTGGAAGTCTATTTTCTTTGCCAGAATGGGGAAGTTCTCCTTCATTATTTGTTCAAATAAGTTTTCAATTTCCTGCTGTTGCTTTTCTTCTTCTGACACCCCTATAATTCAGATATTGGAATGTTTCAGGTTGTCCCAGAGAATCCTCAGCCTCTCTTCATTTTTTTTTTTGATTCTTGTTTCTTCATTCTGATCCAGTTGGATGTTTATTTCTTCCTTTTGATCCAAATTGTTGCTTTGAATCCTGATTTCCTTCTTGTCACTGTTGGTTCCCTGAATATTTTGTTTTATTTCATTTTGGGTATCTTTCATTTGTTCTTTCACTTTTTGACCAAGCTCAATCAGTTCTGTGAGCATTTTGATTACCAAGGCTTTAAATTCTCCATCAGATAGGTTGGCAATCCCCTCATCACTTAGTTCTAAGGTTTTGCTGTGTTCTTTCATTTGGGCCATATTTCTTTGTCTTGGTGCACAGGTCTGGTTGTCCTGGTTGATTTTTTCTTTAATTCCTTGGTTGTAGGAATTCCATGTCATTTGATTTTCTGGAGCTTCTGGTTGTTTATTGATTTTAGATTGGTTGTTATCCTCCTTTTGGTTTTACGAGGAAGCAAAGGGTTTCTACCTATGCCTCCATCTTTGCCAGAACTCTGGTTCAGGATTCTTAGGTCTATTCCCAAGGGAGTGGCAGTGGGATGAAGGGAAGAGTGCAAAGGGGGAAATTAGGTCAACTATAATAGAAGAACAATAAAATATTGAAACACACACACATACACACACACACAGAAATGTTATAAAAGAGACACAACTAGGCATGCTCTTGTTGGGGGGTGGAGCTGTCCATGACCCAGTGCTGAACTCTCCACCACTTCTAGGGATTAACATACACATAGGACAGAATCAGGGAAGATGCAGACGGCTCATGGTTTTGAGGAAAGCCTCCTAGATACACATCCACATTCCTGTTCA